CTCAGAAAACATTTCTACATACCAAGATTGTCCAACTTGACTCAGGCCATTGTACGTAGATGTGTAACGTGTGCTAAAAATAATGCAAGACAAGGACCAGTAAAGCCACCAGGAGTCCAGTTTATGGGGGGACTTCCCATGTCCGATTTACAAATTGACTATACAGTGATGCCTAAATCGGGTGGACATCGCTACCTGCTGGTAGTGGTGTGCACCTATTCAGGCTGGGTAGAAGCATGTCCAACTCGTACAGAGAAAGCAGGAGAAGTCGTGAGATTCCTGCTACGAGAAATAATACCCCGATATGGACTACCCTGCTCTATAGGATCGGACAATGGTCCAGCTTTTGTTCATCAGTGCCTACAACAATTGACTCATATGCTTGGTATAAAGTGGAGGCTTCATACGGCATATAGACCCCAGAGTTCTGGTAAGGTAGAGAGAATGAATAGAACTATTAAGAATCAGTTGGCTAAAATGTGTCAGGAAACCCAACTTAAGTGGAACGCTCTCTTGCCCATAGCTCTATTGCGAATCCGTAGTACACCTACCAGAAGGATGGGCCTCTCTCCTTTTGAAATCATGTACGGGCGACCACCTCCCGTGCTTGGTAACTTAAGGGGGGATTTGAGTCAGTTGGGAGAAGGAATTACCCGGCAGCAGGTTGTAGAGTTGGGTAAGACTATGGAGGAGGTACAGAAATGGGTACAAGATAGATTACCTGTGAATATTTATCCCCCAATTCATAGTTACCACCCAGGCGACCAAGTGTGGATTAAAGAGTGGAATAATGTGCCGTTAGGGCCCAAGTGGAGAGGTCCTTATGTTGTTCTTCTGTCTACCCCTACAGCGATAAAAGTAGCCGAAGTGGCTCCGTGGATACATCACTCCAGGGTTAAACCAGCAGCAGCCGATTCCTGGCAAGTTACAGCAAATCCAGAGAATCCCTGCAAGATCCGGTTAAAACGCACGACTCAGTCGGAGTGACGAGGAATCTTGTAGATTACAAATTTTATTGTTTCAGAGACTTGGTAAGTGAGTGAGAAGGCCATAATAAAGCCTGTCCACTCACCAACGAGTGTATAAGTCAGGGAAAGTCTTGAGGGGACCCCTGTGAAGACGAGCAGAACTCCATTCCCTGCAGCCCTTACATCCTGAAAGCTGAGGTGCCTTCGCACGGACGAAGACTGAGGATGACGACGAAAGATGTATTTTTAATAATGTTTATTTATGTGTATTTTTATATTCAGGAAGGTAGAGGTACCAACACTCCTAGCTGTGAGGTATGCATTAAGACTACAAGAACAGGTAACCATATATCCCAGACCCTAATTTGGCATTCGCAATATGAGTGTAAAGGAGATGTATCAAGATGTAGATACTTAAATATAGAATATAGTGTGTGTCATTTAGGAGTAGGAGAACCTAAGTGCTTCAGTCCTGAGTATCAACCCCGTACAATTTGGTTGACTCTCAGAAATGGAGATCCTCAGGGGACCCTAATTAATAAGACGGTATTAGAATCCGTATATTCTTCAGGTGCTCTGCTATTTGATGCGTGTAAAGCAATATCAAGTGGTAGAAAGCCGTGGAATGTATGTGGGGATCTTAGATGGGAGAGGACGTATGGGTCTAACGATAAATATATTTGTCCCAGTAGTAAAAATAAATATGTAAGTCCAAGATGTCCAAATAGAGATTATAACTTCTGCCCATATTGGTCTTGTGTGGGGTGGGCGACTTGGGGACAGACAGCAGACAAGGACATGATTGTGACTAAGTTGCCTACTATCCATATTGTAAGTCTATGGAATGCAATCCAATCCATATACTTATAAATAACCCTGACAAGTTCTTAGATAAATATGGTAATTTATTTGGGTTTCAAATATATGGGACGGGTTTAGACCCTGGGACAATATTGTTTATAGGGATAGAGACTGATACGGTAACCTCCCAAACTCATCAAGTATACCATTCCTTTTATGAAGAGATGAGCATAGATAATAAGATCCCCCATAATGCTAAAAACTTGTTCATTGATTTAGCCGAGAGTATTGCCGGTAGTCTTAATGTTACCAACTGCTATGTGTGTGGAGGTACTAACATGGGAGACCAATGGCCTTGGGAAGCAAAGGAGGTAATGTCCGGTTCTGAGGCAGTTGACCAATTAATATCTACACAAGCCGACTATCATATGAGTGTTAGAGGTAAATCTGAGTGGAGATTGAAGACCTCCATCATAGGTTATGTTTGCATAGCGAGGAAAGGAATGATGTATAATACTTCTGTAGGAGAATTAACTTGTCTAGGGCAAAAAGCTTATGATGATGATACAAAGAATACAACTTGGTGGTCGGCTTCAAATGTCTCAGAACCATCTAACCCGCTTGCAAGATATGCCAATTTAAAGGACGTATGGTTTGATCTATCCATCACATCTAACTGGAGAGCCCCAGCGAATTTGTACTGGATCTGTGGTAAGAAGGCCTATTCGGAGTTACCACAGGACTGGGAAGGGGCATGTGTGTTGGGTATGTTGAAACCATCCTTCTTCTTGTTGCCTATTGAAACAGGTGAGACTTTAGGTGTTAAAGTGTATGATGTGAATCATAGGAAGAAAAGGGGACCCATAGAGATAGGTGCCTGGGAAGATAATGAATGGCCTCCCCAGCGTATTATAGATTATTATGGGCCAGCCACGTGGGCAGAGGATGGTACCTTTGGTTATAGAACCCCTATTTATATGCTCAACCGCATTATAAGGTTACAGGCGGTGGTTGAGATCATTACTAACGAGACATCACAAGCGCTCAATCTTCTAGCGAAGCATAATACCAGGATGAGAACAGCAGTTTACCAAAATAGATTAGCCTTGGATTATCTTTTGGCAGTAGAGGGAGGTGTATGTGGGAAGTTTAACCTGAGCAATTGCTGTCTTCAAATAGATGACGAAGGGCAAGCAATAGCTGAGCTTACTAGCCATATGGTTAAACTAGCGCATGTGCCTACTCAGGTATGGAAAGGGTACAATCCAAGTAGTTGGTTTGGTAGCTGGTATGAGTGGTTTGGAGGGCTTAAGGCAGTGGTAGGTGGAGTCCTACTGATTTTAATGTTGTGTCTACTCCTGCCGTGTCTTATACCCTTAGTAGTTAGGTCTGTGCAAAGCCTGATAGAAAATATAGCAGAGAGGAAGGCTGCTGCACAGATAATGGCAATTTATAAATATAAGGCTCTAGATCAGGGAGAACCAATGCAGGAAGACGAGTGTTGAAGATTCACATCATAGGATAAGTCTGGTCTGGTTCAAAGGTAACTTGTGGTGTATGCAAACCAAGGTTAAGTGATGCCTCAAGTAATTGTAAAATATCAAGAGGCATCAAAGGGGGGAATGTGGTGGAATCTCGGTAAAAATAAATTTAGTAGGCCGAGATTACCACGTGGCATGTGTACGTGCATATGCTGACGTATCGATCAGTTGGTTGCACGAGGCAAGATACGATCAGTAGTGTACGGAGCATGTGCAAGAATACAGGATGTAGTATTCCCCTCCTCCATTGTGCTGGACAAGCCATGCGGTCAAGCAGGAAGTTAATTCTTATTTGTAATGATTGGTCAAGAGAATGTGCGGGTGGAGCTTAATATGGGAGGAGTTATGTGCCTATATAGGGAGCCTGCACTATTGTTCAGGGCTCAGAACTTGCTGTATTTTTGGTGACATTAGTCCCTCTGAGTCCCGATCGGTGATCCAATAAAGAATCTCTTCCTTCCTGAAGAAACCTGTGTCCATCCCTCTGTGCTTTGCTTCCGTCAGTTTCTCCGGTATCAGTTACAGTATTGTTTTATTCTAACGTGCGCACCGGCTGTTTATCCTGTGCGTTAAATAAATGTTATTCCTTGTTAGCGAAGGGAGGTATTTAAATTAGTTTTTCATGTTGCAATATTAATTTAAATGGAGCAGCTAGGTTGTCAAACATGTTTTTTATCCCCTTCAGAAACAAATGCCCCCACCAAGGTATGGTAGGACTACAACTCCTATTATCAGCTGGCTGAGGGTGATTAAATCTGAATGGGCTGTTAACAAATGTCAGGTTGTTGGTTACTTCCTGCTCTGTTAAATAAGATCTATCTATGCATTATCATCGCCAGATATCAGTTCCGGAAATACTGCAACGTGTGCTTTGCAGAAGCAAGGTTTATATATACAGTACTGTGTATATATATTTCATCTCCAAGGCAGCTGCAAATTCATCTCTGTCTAATAGCAAGCTTGTCTAGACAGTACGAGCCAGTGACATGTTCAGCTGGTTATATAATGGAGATTCTCTCTGTGTGAGTTTAGCACGTTGCCGGTCTCAGTAGCCCTGGGCATTCTATGTTACTTCGTAGCAGTTTCCTTATGAATTAATTGTTTTATTGTAAAGATCTGAAATCCTGACCCAGATTTGAATGCAGTAGCTTAAAAATCAGATTAAGTGTGATTCGCAGACTTTTATTGAGGTGCTCTCGTGAGTTTATCTGCATTTGTTGCGCAATAATTTTATTAAAGGACACGGAGGCTCCTATTATGCTTATCTCTTTCTTTATTCCTCAGCAGAAAAAGAAAGGATATTAAAGATATTGTGGATATTAAATAATAACATCATTTATTCCAAAGGGTTAACCACATTTAACATATTAACCAATGAGAGTGTTCCTAGCACAATAATGTCCCATGTGACCCTAAGCCACTCTTCTTTCCTTTGCTGTTGCCTGCTCAGCTAAGTACAATTTTTTTTCTCTCTCTCTCATATTTGGGAATATTCCATTAATGTTTATATATTTTGGGTTCATTTGCCCTTTAATTTCCCTTGTTTGCTTTATTTATGCATTTTTTTGCCCTTTTCTGTGGTAAATTATTTGTTGTTATTACTGTTTTCCTCATCCCTCCCTCCCTCCCTCCCCCATCTCTGTTTTTTCTTCCCTCAGTCTCCTGGTCGGTTTGATTATTTTCCGACCAGGTTTACCTCCTGCCTAGAGGGGAACCAAAACCTGAGGCTCCCTCCTCACACCGGGTACCGTTTTCCGCGGTCCTGGCGGTTCGCGGCTTTAGCCGCGACTACCGCCGCACCCGCATGCGCACATCACGAGTGCGCATCGCGGTGGCCATATTAAGGTTGGCAGTTTTGCCGCGCTTTTTCTAGCGAGGCCAATACTGCTCGTTCGGGGGCGGGATTTTCACAGCTCAGTTGCTGGGCAGGTTACCCGTGCTCCCCAGGAATTTATTCCTGACGCAACACTCGGTAAGCTTGATTTACTTTTACTATTGTGCTGATTAGCAGTTTTTTCTGTGCCTACTAGCTGTCAAATTCCCATTGTATCCATGTTAATAGGAATAAATCATCCTTGCCCTTCAGTTCCTTGGCCCTCCTTTAAATAGTTTGCGCCTGTCACTCTTATTCAGTTAAATTGTAACATGCAATCTGGCAAAGAGTTTGACATTTGCAGCCCTGCCACTAGTGCCACCATAAACCCGACGCCCCCAGCAAGGTCAAAATTACCGACATTAGCTGCAGTGTCATTAGAGCAAATGGACTCTGAAGAGTTGCATTCCCTCCTAGACGCTGCTATGGCAAAGTCTGTAACTCAAGCCATTTATACTGCTATGGGGGCAACGTCAGATAATATCACCCACTCAATTACCTCCTACTGTCACTACTACCGGAGAGTACACTGGTGGCCCCTAGTGGGCGTAAAGCAGCAAAAAAGTCTTGCCACCTGGACGAGGATGCCTCCAAAATTATACATACGGACAGGGTACGTCATGTCACAGAACCTGTGGTCGCACCACAACTAAGAGCCCCCCACCGGGCAAAATCGGTGAGGAAGTGAAAGAGGGCAAAAGACCAGATTGAATCCTCCGAATCTGAATCGGAGCAAGAGGAGGCACAGAGCGAGTCAGATGAGGAGGACTCTTATGATTCCACCAGTTATTTTCCAGGGCACGACTCATTGTCAGTAGCGGGAATAGACTCCAAAGATGGAGTTGACAACGCCGCCCTAATAGACCCTGATGGCGAGCCACTGTTTGATCCCAACACTTTACAACACCTGAGATCCTCGAAGTGGTATCCCCTAGAACACGTAGCAAAATATATCGCTGCATGCATTAGAAAGCCACTTGACAAGGTGGCATGAAACTAACTCTGGGCAGAATGCCCATGCCCCACTATTCCTGATATGGCATGCGCCACCCCTGACGTAGATCCTTGGGGAAATCAGGTTGGAAGGCCAAGAAGGGCCTGGATTTTGCCTGGCAGAATTGCCAGGATAAGGTCCTGGATGTCCTTGGGCCAATTGCGAAAATGTTTGACATGGTCGAAATTGCACTAGCAGGTGGTACACCGGTGGATTTAGAAGCCATCAGGAGGTGGATCCAGTGATCTGTATGTTTGCTGGTTCAACGCCAATACTGTGGTGGCCACTGAAAGGCGCAAAGCAATCCTAATAAAAATAGAACCTAAGCTAGTGAACCTAGCTATTTCAGAGCCTGGACCCCAGGCAAAAGCCCTCCTGTTTGGAGATAATTTTGTTAAAGAGCTAGGCACGTATGTAGGCACCTTTACAGCACTTGATGAAGCTCAAGCCAGCATGAAACGAGTGTTTCACCAGAGAGTTTTTGGCGGGGCTGTCAGATATCAGGGCCGTCTGCCCGGCCGCTCATCCCGGGGTTCGTACTGGGCTGTCGTGGCTCCATTCAGTCCAGGTACAGCACCTGAGCCCAAACCTACCTCACCGTTTCTTCCCAGTTCGGGGCAGACCATGGCAGTCTCGGGGACCCAGAGGTTCTTCCTATAGCCGACGACCTTATGGTAAGTTCAATGCCACTTAATCTGGCTTCACTAACTATGGTGGGAGGCAGACTGTATCACTTTGTCAATGCTTGGCGCATGCTCACTGCAGATGCCTGGGTCCTTCACACTGTCCAGGGTTACTCTATAGATTTTGTACAATACCCTGTCCAAATGCAGCCCCCCAATCGCATGGTGTTCTCCACTCACGATCAATGCCTGATTTCGCAGGAAATCCAGGCCTTAGCCTCCAAGGGTGCAATTTCCGCAATTCACCCTCTCACACCAGGTTTCCTAAGCAACCTATTCCTGGTCCCCAAAAAAGGCAGAGGCGCTCGTCCAGTCATCACCCTTTGTCCCCTAAACATGTTTGTCACATACCACCACTTCAACATGGAAAGTATACACTCTCTCCGGGACCTCCTACTTACAGGAGACTGGATGATCAAACTCGACTTGAAGGACGCTTACCTCACAATTCCAATGGCCGAGGAATGCCAAAAATTCCTACAATTCCAGTGGCAGGAAATCGTGTGGCGATTCAAGTGCCTACAGTTCGGCCTCTCGTCGGCACTCTGGTGCTTCACAAAACTCATGAAACCAGTGGTCGCTCTGGATCCGCCACTGCCCACATATAGGATGACTTTGGAAAATCAAAGGTCAATCACTAAGGACAGGTCATTTTATTTTACTATAAGATTGTGCGGCAAACTCACTGATCGTTTTTAGGTTTGAGCCTAAATATAAATTTAGAATTCATAGGTTTAAAATACTGTTCAAAAGATATCTACAAGATTTATACACTTCTCTTGGAGTGGGGGATTTCCCTCCACTGTTTCATTTTTCAATTAACAAAACAATCTTTGCAAATCAAGAAGTACACTATTTATTATACAGGTTCAAATTTAGAAGTTCCTGTTGTGAGAGACAGGGCACAGGGTTATTGGCGTAGCTATGGAATGCTTCTAAGAACAAGCTTGCAGTTGTAGTGGGCTTATGTGATAGAGATTTATTGACATGGACCAAATATCAACAATTTTAAATAAATGTGTTGTGTGTCAGCTTAACCGCAAGTCATCATGAATCTCTGAGAGATATAATAAACTCGTCTGACCTCTGACTGTGATATAATCTATGTTGCTAACCAATTCTACCTTCCTTTGATTTGTTCGTTAACTGATTGAACATCCTTTGTTATATTTCATGTTTATAATTAACTTATTCTACCAGCTTTTCCACATTATTTTGTCACAGTGATACACGTTATTATTATTTCATCACGGTGTAATTTTTGTAAATAACCGATTCTGTGTATACATCTCTGTGCTGTTTCTGTTAACATTGTTACATTATATTGACCTCCATACTGAGAAGTTACCTGCTGTTTGTCACCCTGGAAACCAGCTTGTTTTGCTATAAACCAAACAATTTCTTAGTCAAGGTTGGACCTCAAGCAAGGATGCATATCTTCTGGTCTGGAGACAGCCAGATGATCAGAAATGTGTTACTTTTTAATGGAATGAGAGAAAGTGGCAATTTAATTCACATATGTTTTACTTTGCATCTTCTTCAGAGGCTGGGTTCTTGTATAAACTGGAAGAAGTCAATTATAATTGCATTGCATTGTAACAATTTACACTGGTTACATATTTACATAGTTACATAGGCTGAAAAGAGACTTGCGTCCATCAAGTTCAGCCTTCCTCACATTTGTTTTTTGCTGTTGATCCAAAAGAAGGCAATAAAAACCCAGTTTGAAGCACTTACAATTTTGCAACAAACTAGGAAAAAATTTCCATCTTGACCCCAGAATGGCAGTCAGATTAATCCTTGAATCAATAATTCAGAAAGAGATCAAGTCAGTATTAAAGAAACAACACCTTTCAAGAAGAATCGTGAGGAGGACTGTGGGATTGCTAGAAGTGTCAATTTAAGCAATATTTTTGGCACCATTGCATTATAGGGCGCTCCACAGATTGAAGGCTCAACATTTCAGTAGGTTTTTCCTACACTGACAAAATGTCATTGTCAGTGGACACAGGGAAATAAAAACCTCATATCATAATTGAAGCACGTTGATGCATAGAATGACACAGCAATCTTTGACTCCAATCCAGATGACATAATAGAATTTCACATGAGTCTGAATGGATGGGGTGCCCATTGTGGAGACCTCAGAACTGGCAGCAACTAGTTAAAAGAACAAAACATACCTATATGAGTAGTTTGGAATTATTAGCAGGACCAAAAGCAAAGTCAGCCTGATCAAGCTTTGGATAGATAAAATGTCAGAAGAGTCCAGTACATCTACTAACTACGAGGCACCGTGTTGTAAATGTGAGCAGATCTAGCCAGATTATTTTAGCATTTCTGTTTACATTAAGGTGTAATGCTGAAGACAAAATATCCCGACCTGTTGAATTCTATAGGAATATATGGCACATCGTCAATCATAGAGATTGGAGACTCCACAGTCAAACATTCCAATATCGGAACCAACGTTGGGACTTGTTAGGCACAAAACGGTTAAAGTCATGTTTAGATCACCAATTGCATTTTTTATCAGTTGGATCCCAGATCTAAAGGCAGTTCTTTAATCAACTGACTGATTTTAGGTATTCAGATATTGAGGATTAATTTGTAGAACTGACTCATGATGTTGTGTCTGAAGATTGGGCACGCTGTACCAAATTTAATTACAGATCAGCCTGTAAATAATTTGGTGTAAATGGTGCATAGAGAGAGATTTGGATCTCTTACAAACTGCCATCAATGTCTAAAGATTGCTATTTCGGTATTCATGTATTCATGGACAACAATCAAGTAGACCAACACCCAACATCAGAGTGCAGGTTTATGAGAGGCTTTCATCTCAAGAGACCCTCTCAACTCACATTCTGTGACATTTAGTTTGGTTTTGGTCCTGAATCTGTTTCAGTGCTTGGAAGACATTGATTCATTGTTATTAAAATCGTTTAACTTTAAACTCACCATGTTGTGCCTTATTTTATTGAAAGTAATATTTGATATTAAAGCAGTGTACATTCACAATAAATTCTATTTTCAGAACTAAAACCGGCATTACATTTGTTTATGCCCTAAGGTAATTTAAAATCCTAAATTATTTGTGGGCCACTGCTTGTAAACTTACAAGGAAAAGACAATAAAGCTTAGATGAGAGTTTTGTTTATCCACTTGCAATTTCTTTTTGGAAAACCTATCTCCTAGTGCGTTCAGTTACTTAAGCTAGAAGGGCAGGAATTTTATTTCATTAGTAGGCATAGATATTTCTAGGTGTGGATATCACTCTAAGAAGTATTCATGTTTTTCTGATAGATGTTAATCAACATATTCTTAAAGCTGAAGATTGTTCTCTGGAGTCACTCTTTACATGATTCTATAAACTCTGTAGAAATATCTCTGTAAATGTTGGTTTTCATGTTATCTCTGCACTACTATTCCGTCAAGTTAGCATTAAATATTAGGCAAGTAATAAAATAAAATATAGTAAGCACAAACAGTAGTTTAGCTAGGTTTACAAGAGTAGAGTGTCCCCTGGGAGAAAGGGCTTATGATCTGATACCAGTCATTCAAGTAAGCCCCATACTGGATCCTATGACATCCTATGCCCTTCAAGGGCAGAACACAGTAACGCAACTGGGCCAACAGCCCGAGGAAAAGTGGGTCAATAAGTGTGGGAGTCTCATATAAAGAGTGGCAATCACAGAGCCCCATGAGCTGCTGTGTCATCAGCTTCAGCTCAGGAAGACCAGTCGCCAGGTAGGCCCATGCCTTCCTCGGTAGTGGTGATAGCAATGCCAGCCTCAGCCCTGCTTACGTGGACGGTGTTGCAATGTTCAGGGCGTCCTGAGTCTTGGACCTTGTTAATCAGGTGCATTCTCTTGGTATGCTTACCCTGAATGAGACCATACTCAGGATAGAGGACAGCTTGGCACGAGAGTCTGCCGAGTGTGTGGCGTCTGCCATGTTAAAGGTTACTAGTCAATGCGAGTGGTTACCATAACACTAGCTGTGTGTGCTGGGATAACTCTCAACAAGAAACCATGTTTCCCAACTATCCCAGAGTTCCCAGCTTAACATGCAAATGAGCAAACACAGGCATTGTGTTTCAGACTTCATACTGCATTTCTACAGATACCTTTAGCAATGGACACTGTTTGAAACAAAACATTTGCTAAACCAAAGCATAGGTTGTGATCCAAAAGAATCAGTGACCAGAAACCATGGACTGCAGTTTCAACCTCGTGGGTCTCATCAGCATGGCACTGGTTCCTGTCTGGAAGTTGGAGACTCTCTGAGAGCTCGGTACCAAAAAGAATCTGGTGAGGTCAAACACAATACAACTCCCCACAGTGCAAACACAAAACAAATACTGCTAGGCATTACCTACATATCTCAAATTGCACTTTGAGGAGTTATTCCTGGGCCGAGAAACTCGATAGCTCACGTTTCCCTGTTATCCCAGAGATCCCAGCTGTGGGGAGTTGTATCATGTTTTGCCTCACCACAATCTCTTTGGTACCGAGCTATTTTGCGTGCCTAAACGTGAAGATTTCTTCTTTCTGATGTGTCGTGCAGTTTTGTTTATTCACATTTGGACTAATTCTCTCTTCTGCTTGGTTATGATTTGTGTATTTTGTTTTTCTTATATTGACATGCTTTAAGTCTTAGGTTATGAACTTTTTACCTTTATACATCCTCAGGATATTATATTATATTTCATTGTCGCAGCAAGAAAGAGGATGAGGATTCAGCACTACGGCCATTTATAGCTGGAGTTACAGGTAACTGGTTGATGTTGAAGTTCTTGGTTGCAGAGTGTTATTTTCAATTTTGGCTTTTTTTCTTGTAATTATTCACATTTTCTACTGTAACTTTTTGCTGTATTTGTAGAAGTAAAGAAGTTATAAACATAATATTTGTTTCCTGTTTTTAGGTGCTAAAGTTATGGAAATCCAGAATTTGTACATATTTATTTCTAAAAGTGAACAATATCTGCCACTTTCTTATGAACTCTGGTTTTAAACAACCATCACACTAAATATCTCGTTATTCCCAAAAGATAACTGTAACATACAGGGAGTACGAGCGATACATTTACACATGTAAAACACTGCACAAGGAATTATCATATATTCAGTGAGAGTGCTTGTGCTATTTATTTATATTTTTTTCATGTTTTCCCTATTATGTTACAGTTTAAATTTGCAAATCTCATGACCTGTCTTTTAATGTAAAATCCATCACATACCTAGAGGTCTATGTTCCATCAGCTGTGTTATTCTTAGGTAATTTAATAATCGATGTGTACCTGTATGTGAGGAATGCTGGAAGGATTAAGTAAAAGAATAAAAATTAAATAAAATGTATCAATAAATAAAAATTTTAAAAAGTATATGACTTGTTGAGTCCCAAAACCCATGATTAGTTATTAGAGCTATAATCATGACAGACACCACATGTGCTTTTCCAATAAACTATTCATTAGTCTTACCCACACCAAAATATTAAATGTTTGTAAATTATTTTGCAACAAGACATTAAGGGAGGGGGGCTGCCACAACCCTTGCTCATGACCCGTCACCACTGCTTGTATGTCATATAAACCAACGACCCCAACGTGTGGCTCTCCAGCACTCTTACCCCCTCTTTGAGATCTCATACCTCCCACCTGCCATTACTGTAGATCTGAGCCCCAAGAGTGCAATATAAGTGGCTACAGGAGGGTTATCACACTACTCCCTTCTTTCACACTTCATACTGCTGGATCTGCACTCACAGATTGGGCAATGGAACAAACAGATCCTCCATGGTCTCTCTCGGCGTTACTACCATCCAGGGCTTAGAATTTCTGGTGTAAATATACAGGAATACAGGAGTCCCTGCTGTTTATACCTGTTAAATGACCTAATTAACATAGCGGGTGGGATGGCAATATCTGTCCAGATCTGAGCCTACGAGTGTCAGCCACAGGAGACACCGCACTCTTTGCCAAAGGGAAAGAGATTATGTTATAAAATCTCATCCAGTTAACTATTTATCTCTGTTTTAACCATAACGTATCTTTGAACTGGATGTCTGTCTGCCTGTCCCTTTATTACTCTACCTCTCCCACCTCCTCTTTGGTGTCTAACCTCGAGCTAAGAATAGAATATATCCTAAGAAGCAGTTTCTTAGTATCAGACATGTCCGGGACATGTAGCTAGCATTACTAATAAGAAGCGTCCTGTGCCTTTTATATTTTAAATGTTAATTTGCAAAAATAGCTTAAACCCTTTAGCAGATGATAATCTTTTTTTAAACCAATGTTAAAGAACTCTGTGTAACAACAGTGATCTTCGCCCGTTGTTCTTGGATATATAAAGAAAGCTATTAGACTCAGAAAGGATCAGATTTATGGCTGGGAGAATTATCAAAGCGTTGAGTATTGTATCTCCTGTCTGACTGCTGATATCTAAAAGATGAAAAAATAGCAATGTATTATACCCACTGCATTCATATAATCAACACTTAAGCATCTTCACCGTTAACACTATTGAGCTTGTTTATTAAAAGAAAGTGCAGTGCAAAATTCTAAAATGTTAGCAGTCACCATGGAAATCAATTCTGTTTATTGCTCCACTTTTAAATCCATGCCCTATAACTGCTCTGTAAACATAACCCTATATATACGCAGAGCAGTAGACAATTTGGATCTAGTGTATATTGACAAATACACAGATGTTTTATTTTCACTATTAGATTCAGTACATTATGTTTGGCTGCTTTAGATTGGACTATTCGCTACAGTGGGAAATGGCAAGAACTGACGAGGAAAATGTTAATTTTTACAGAAAGTAGTTGAGCTGACTCTTCGGTGTATTTTTCCAGCCATTTTCACAGCTTTGCTCTTGTATACAATATGCATTTGTCTGGACAATTCATTTCAGCTTAGTGAATTACCCTCACTGACTAAGGCCCACAAAATGGATGCCAAATAAATAATACAAAAAAAGAAACAAACAATTCAGCCACCTTATCGTCTGTATAAAGAAGTGTGGCGGAACCAACCTCGCCACTATGCACTGGAGAAGCCTGGTTGCCCGCCTGCTGCCTTTAGACTATGGCCCCATGTTGAAACGCTTGATTTTCCCCTGCGGAGACACGAAAGCCAGGTCATTTGGTGCTTGCCCTGTTTGAGCGGTGATACCCCAGATAGCTATGCCATGGAGCTCATTCGTATAATGAAAGACAATGGGAAAGACTTTGGCTCCATGGCAATTGAACTGTATGTGTGTGATCTGAGCGCCATTCAGTAATAATGTGCGCTCAGATCTGAGCTATCTGGGGATATGTTGAATGTACCTGTTTTATGCAATGGCTGCACAGTTATATATTTGTATGTGTTTTATTGTCTTTTGCTGCCATGTGTTCAATGGAGTTTTGCCTCTGTCCTGGGAGATAATTGTATTACTTCCCAATTATCTCCAGGATAGAAGACTCTATGGAACTGGTTTTGGGCAGAAAAGCCATGCTTCATTTGGTCACAAAGGACTTCGATCTATCTTTTGAACCAATGGACCAATTTGGCTGATTTTTGGTTATGTTTATATTTAAAGGTTGCTGATTCTAAATATTATTTTTATGACGCTTGAATGTATGGTTTTAAAGTTACAGTGTATGTGTAAAAACTGTATTTTTCCTGCCTGTGTTAATTATGTTAAACCATTGTGTGCCATAATTATATCACAGGCAGAGGGGAGGATTTTTGTATGTAATTGCTGGGAGTGTTTCTGTAATATACGTGTATGATTGGTTGTTTTGTAAAACCCTGTGGGTGGTCCTATCTAAGGGAAACCTGCATAAAAGAAGGTTCTCTTGGTGCTAGTAAACAGATTCTGCTTAACCCTCAAACGAAGTGTCGTCTCGTTATTGGGGGAACTGGATTGTATGCTGACTGCCAGGAGTGTAAACCTTTTGTATGGTTTTTCCTGTTCAGCTGTTTCCAGTATTCGTGAGTTTCCTGTTCGGGAATTGGAGAATTTGTGTAGTTTGCAGTTTGGGAGATTGGTGATTGCAGTAGCTGTCTGTGCATCTGAAAGGGGAATATCGCCTAAATGGTTTTTAACCTCTTGTGGGCAAAACAGTCCGTTACAAGAAGATTTTATGAGAGTTCATATAGTTCAACCAATAAAACCCAAAATGTAAAAAAATGTAATCGCCAACTCGGAAGGGCATCAATTATTAAATGAATATATAACTTATATCTGATCCATTTTTGCTGGGATTATATAAATTCCATTGCTTAATATGTAGATAACAGCTGAATATTCCAAGGGACAACCAGAACCAAGAAGGTTTTTTCTCCATTTATGGTGAAATTATAAAGCTCTTCAGATAGGAATGATCTACTTGTTTTGGATCAACAGCAGTAATACGGATATGTGAAAGGCTGAACTTCATGGACTTGAGTGGTTCTTCGCTTATATTACTATGCAACTATTCAGAAAGTGCTAGATAAAAAAAAAATGATCTGAAAATGTATTTTATTTCCTACTTATAAAAGTGGCACAAGTCCATTTTCACTCAAATATTGGAAGGCATGAGTATGTTACCTGGTGGTACTGAGGCTTTGTGTGGTTTTATAACGGTTCTTGTTTATAAGTACAAGCGGCAATTTATTGTGCAAAATATTTACAAAACAATGCCCAGGTTACTCTATATTGACACCATTAGAGTTAGTTTGTAGAAGTTAAACTCAAAGTCCTGGGCGTTCAGTGTGTAGGTAAGTATGATATGGGGTACATTCGACCAGCTTGAAAGGTTGAAAAAACATTTTAGGTGCATTATATCATGTGCCATCAAAAACGCACAAACGTGTGGTGGCATATGTTTGTACACACAGAACAAAAGGTGACAAGGGCGTGAGGAAAATGATTAACCATTGTTTTGTAATCATTTTGCAACCAGTATACAAGTTTTAGCTGGGTCCATCCCAAGCCAGAAATGCATACAAACTCTCCAAGAACCAGCCTAGTGTGGTCTTACTTTATATACAGCTAACAAGGGAACACTTAACGGAACCCATGTATCTGAGAACAAAGCACCACTTATTCAATAGGGGTAACTTTAGAAAACATGGATACAATTCTATATTATTTGGAGGAGAGTCAGAATACTTGTTTTCATGTATGTTGATGAGATAATAATCTGATATTTCAGACATGAATAAAATAGTACCTGACCTTTTGTGTGTTATCTTTATAAATGATCAGTGAAAGAAAAATCTTAGAAAACAGTGAGAATGGCTGGGCAATGATCAATGATTGTGTTTGGCAAATATTATGATGAACAGGTGTCATGGATACGTGGAATACACAGTGCATTAACCTTCAGCAGAATATCTCAGTAAGCCTGATAAGAAATCAGATCTGCTGAGTGTTCTACCTGCTATATTGATATTGGACTGCGTAGAGATAATAAATCATGACTTTGATAAATTTACTGTGTCAGTTGTGCATAAGTAGATCGAGCTGCAATAAATGAGAGTCACTCCCTAAATGTGGAATTGCAGAGAATTTACCAAGAGAATCACGCGTTTTCCATTAAAACTGTTGTAGCTGGAAAATTGCTATTTTGGCCTGAACTCTGCAATTTTCTAGTCTGTTCTTCAGACGTGCTAACTGAAATTTAGAACTTACTGCAATTTAGAACTTACTGCAATTTAGAACTTTCTGAAATTTAGAACTTACTGAAATTTAGAACTTTCTGAAATTTAGAACTTACTGAAATTTAGAACTTACTG